CAGCACTTTGGGAGGCCAAGGCGGGTGGATCACCTGAGGTAAGGAGTTCGAGACCAGCCTGGCCAACACAGTGAAATCCCGTCTCTACTAAAAATATAACAATTCGCCGGGTGTGGTGGTGTGTGCCTACAGTGCCAACTACTGGGGAGGTTGAGGCAGGAGAATTGCTTGAATCTGGGAGGTGAACACTGCAGTGAGCAATGTCCGAGATTTTGCCACTGCACTCTAGCCTGAGTGACAAAGCAAGACTCTCTATCCAAAGAAAAAAAAAAAAAGAAAATGAAAGTAATTAAAATAGTAAAAATGTAGATAAATCTAAAATAAACATTTGGTATAGAAAACAATCATAACATTTTAATATCTATCTATTTATCTATAATTAAAATTAACCAAAACAATAGCATATAGGATGGAAGGTAAATTAAGTTGAAGTATTCTAAGAACCTTGCATTGTCTAGGATGAAGATAAAAGTATCAATTAACATTGGGTTTTGATAAGAATCCACCTTTTAATTCCTAGGCCACTAAGAGAAAAAGTACGTAACTTCCAAACCAAAAGATGGAAATATAGAGTATGAATAGAATCATTCTAATCTAATCCAAATGAAGGCAATAGAAGAGATAACACAATTTAGGTCATGTGGAGTAAATGGAAAGCAGTGAATAAGATTTAAACCCAAATCCTTCAGTAACTATATATTAAAGTGCTAAATGATCCTGTTAAAATAAGTTATCAGACTGGATTAAAACAACAACTATATGCTATTTCCAAGAGGTACATCTAAAACATAAAAATACAGAAAGGTTGAAAGTAAAAGGAAGAAAAGAGAAATGCCACATAACAGTAACCAAAAAGGAAGCTGATGTTATTAATACCAGAAAAAAAGGAGACTTTTAGTAAAAGGCATTACTAGAGATACAAGGTTTACTTCATAAAATTTCAATTCATGTAACAATTTTATATTTGTGTGGCCTCAAATATATAAAGCAAAATTCACAGAACTATATCTAAGTAGGGATAACTCAACAATTGTCTCATTAATAGAACAAGCAAATAAAACTTCTTAATTAAGAGCAGAGAAGATCTGAACAACGTATTACAAACAATGTAATGGCTTTATGTAGACGACTGCATGCAGCATCTGCAGAACATGCACTTTTTTCAAGTGCCCACAAACCTTCACTAAGGTTAAACATGTGCTGGGCCATAAAGCAAATCTCAACACATTTCAAAGGAGAGCAGTCAGATGGAGCATGTTTTGTAACCACAATAACAAAAATATAACTAGGAAATTCCCATGTTTGGAAGTTAAAAAATACTCTTCTAAATAACCCATGGAATCTGTTGTGATTTCCCAATTTTCATTCCTGACTTTTTTTGTGCTTTTCTTTTTCAATCACATCAGAGGTTTACCAATTTTCACTCTTTTCAAAGTCCCAACCTTGACTTTGTTGGTCTTCTTTATTGTGTTGTTTGCTGTTTCATCAACGTTTGCCCTCATTCTTATCTCTTTCAACTTTTAAAAAGATAGTCAATTTAACAACATTTGTACAAAATTTTTATAAAATACAGAGCATTTTTATTAAGCCTTAAAATAATCTTGTAAACAGGACCTTTCCCTCATTTTACAGATGAGAAAATGATAGAACAGGAAATAAATTCGTATTATTGCATTGAATGGAATATGGCCCTATGGTTTGCACCCAAGACCAGAGGAACTTCGCCTGCTCCTCTCTGGGGCTTTGCCCTGCCCACCTCAGGACCACTACTTATCCTCTGAGATCTTAAGCGACACTAACCAGAAATAGCCATGGTTAAGACAGTGGAAGTCTGGCTCTTACCAACCCTTCCTACAGTAATCTCCAGCACATCTGAGTATTGCTGGGAAAACACAGGGGAAACAAAATATACCATGTGAGTGAGCAAGCTGCCCAGGCCAGAGAAGCAAGCATGAGGCAGCCCTCGACCCCCAACACGTGTGGTTACTGGCCTCAGTCGGAGGCTCCTCTGCTGAGCCCTTTTGCAGCCCGACAAAGACAAAACATGTTTAGAGACAATGGATTGCTTACTTAGAAGCAAGATACCTCTCAGGAACATCCAAAACATCACTTTTCTCATGTTTCTTCTGAAGTTGTGTCTGAGTAGGGGGTGGTCCTTGAGGGATTTCCTTGACTTCCAGGTAAGAGTTGTCCTCCATTACCCAAGCATCTAGAGGCTGAGTCCCTGGACAGGGCCACTACACTTACTCATCAGACTTACTCCATACATTCTTATGCAAATACTTCTCATTCTAGGCAGCCTTCTAAGGACCTGAACACTACTAATGCTTCCAACCCTCATTACAATCTATGAGGTTGCTACTATTATCATCTTTACAAAAGACAGGTGAGGGCCTGGCATGGTAGCCTGTGGCTGCTCAGGCCTGTAATCTCAGCACCTTGGGAGTCTGAGGCTGGACAGATTACTTGAGGGCAGGAGTTCGAGACCAGCCCAGCCAACAATGATGAAACCCTGTCTCTACCAAAAATACCAAAGTTAGCCTGGCATGGTGGTGCATGCCTATAATCCCAGCTACTCTGGAGGCTGAGGCATGAGAATTGCTTGAGCTCAGGAGGTGGAGGTTGTAGTGAACTGAGATCATGCTGCTGCACTCCAGCCTGGGCGACAGAGCAAGACTGTCTTTTTTTTTTTTAAAAAAAAAAAAAAAAAAAAAAAAAAAAAAAAAAAAAAAGACAGGTGAGGACATTCTAGTTTAGTTTCTTGCCTAAATTCATCTGGAAAAAAGTGAGAGTCCTTATTTGAACTCAGGTTTACTGGTAGAGAGACCATGTCCTCAGTCACTATACTTCACTGCCTCTACACAAGTTTCCTGCAGTTTCCTTAGCACAATGACACTATCCATAGCCTCAGAAAAACTGCCAGGTCTAAATGAGAACGGCTCCTCAGTAGGAAGAAAATTGAAGTACTATATTCTGCTTCCTTCTCCATCTCTCTAGGTCAAGGCCCTTAGCTGAAGCTGGAGAAGAGGAATGAAGGGTCTTCCCAGCCCAGGGACTCCCTGGGTACAGCTGTGGCAAATTCCTCAAGGTCTTGATGCAGACAGACGTCAGGTCCCCAATGTCTGTCTTCAGCTAACACATCTTCAGGTGTTGTCCTAGTGGTGATCCTCTTGTTTTTGAATCCCATGAAGGAAAATTCCCCTGCATTGCAGGACTGGTGTTCAGTACCGTTTCACACCCAGTGTCTCCATACATGAAACATGAAATTATTTTCCAGGCTTTCACCTTCAGACAAATTTGCTCAGAAAGATGTGCACTCCTATGGAAGGCTATTCCATACTCACTGTTTCTTTTCAGGCTTTTCCTTTCTCTTTCTCCTCACCACTTTTCCCTCCCCCTTTATTTTTCCCACTTGCATATCATTCTCTGGAAGGAATTGGGGATGGTCCCTAAACCACGTTCCGTCCCTGATCTGAGCAGGCACAGCTGCACCAGTTCATTAGGTCTGTGCTACAACGCAGACCCCTCATGTCTGGGAGCAGCCTGCATGGCTTGTATCTGGCTGTAGGTACACTTGAGGACCTGGGCCCATTTCCGGAGCATGTGAGTAGATGGGGGCCGCAGTAGGAGCTTGTCTGGTGCTTGGGGGGCTGAGGCACTCAGAATCCCCACCTGAGCTGTGGCCATCCTCTCCTTTGTTATTTAGCCTGCATCTTCCCCAAAAGTAGACAGTGCCTTAGGTTCAGCTGGAGCTCAAGTACGGGAGCTCTCCTGTGTGAGGAGCACATGGAAACCTGAGGTTAAAAATAGCCAGCGCTGGTCTCATCTTCAGCAAAAGGAAGCCCAATTCATGTCCCCATGACTACTGGGAACAAGTACTCCACGGCACCCTCCTTCTTGCCCAGACACCAGCCCTGACAGAGACCAGCCCTGCAGGAGGATGCCTGGGCACTTCCAAAGCTGCCTTTACTCAGGTCATCCCAGTTCCTACTCCTCTCTCAGAAAACCCAATTCAACGTCCTGCCTAGATGTCACCACTTCCTCCCTCTTGGTTGGTCCTAGTCACCATCCTCTGATCACGTGCAGTCTTAATTCAGACATCCATTAGGGTGGTTCCGCTCACAGCCTTTCTCCTTTTATTCATCCTTACCTGCCAGCATCTACTCCTGCTGCCATCCTCTCCCACCCAGTACGTGGGACAGGGACGGTGCCTAGTAAATCCTCAAGTATTTGCTGAATAAACCAGTCCAAGTCTGTGTATAGGGTCAGGCTTCCCAGTGTCATGTGCAAAGAAGGATAGAGAGCAAGTATGACCAGAACAGTCCAAAGTGGAGCAATGGCAGAAATGCTCCATCTCCCTTTCCTCCCTCAACTACACCCTTCCCCACTGCAGCCATCAAAACTTACTGGTAGAGGTTTGGATACAAAGTGAAAGAATTATACTCCTAGAAAAGAGCATGGAAATTATCTGGCTAGAGAGGTAGGAGTCCTAGAGGGAGATGGGAAACTACATGGCTGAGATTGTTGTCTTGTAAAGACAGTGGGTTTTGAAACCAGAGACCAGACTTAGAATTCAGCCTTTACTGATTGGCCCACTCACAGTATTCTCAGACAGGTTACTCAATTCTCAGAAGAGTCTATTTTTACCCTTGAGTTACCTAGTTAACAGCTTCATACACAGCAGTATTTTATGTTCAATTCTACACAGTCCTGTCAGAGCTGTGTGTGGTGACTGACCACTCACACAACTTACCTGCTCCCATGGGTTAGGATCTAGCCCAGTATGAGGATCACATGGCTCCACTGTGGTCTCCTCAAAATCTATCCTGTGCTCCTCTTAGGGAGGCACCTTCTAACTTCTGGTGAAACCAGCCGAGCTGCTAGCCCTGTGGGATGAGTCCACTGCCCTCTCTGGTTTGGATCTGGTATATAACTTACCCCACACAAAGATCTGACACATAAATGGCTCTTGGGTATCCTGCATCTAAACTCACAGCCCGTTTTGATTTAAGGAATTTCTTTATTGGAATTCCACTTTACCTCGCCACAAGGAGCTGGCTTTCATGACAAAGAGAAAGTGAGCCCTGAACAAAGTATTCGTTAACATTTTACAACAGACAATATACACATATACTGCATGACATCTTTACAATAACATATTCCAAACAATCAAACATTTAACAGGATTAAGAAACATTAATTTCCTTCTCTCTAGATGACTGGTACTTAGCTTTTTAGCTTCTGCACTAAGATGCGTTCCTTCTCAGCATTTCTATTCATAGGAATCCCTGAATCAATTCTGTCATGTAAGGTGCAAATTCATGTTGACGGTGTGTTCCATTAGTTACTGAATGTGTCAAAATCCTCTCCACGGTAGAACCTTTTATTGTAGCATAATGTGTGAATACCACTTCCAGGTTATCCCTCATCACAAATTCATCATTATGGGAATTCATCTGAAACTTTAAAAAAGTTTCATCCATTCAACTAATGTTTCACAATAGTATGTTCATCAATTTGCATTTTTTATGAGTGACTCTCTCCTATCTCCTGTTAGACTTGTAAGTCTATGCTTTCTACTTTTCCTAAAAGGAAATCCAAATTTTGTTTCAGAAGTCATTATCACTGCCCCTCCCAAACCAATTACATCAAGTTTATACTTAAAGACCACTAATATTAAGTAAATTTATATTCCCTGAAACCTACCTCTCCCTGAATTTGCCTGTTGGAGGCCTTTCTCAGTTTTCCCACTGACCAATGTGTAATTGGGATTCAAAGCTATACTTGAATTTCCTACATTTCTAGTAACAGAATTTACCAAACATGAACATTCTGATGGTGATTATGTAACTTCTAATTAAAGTCCCTTCCTCATCTGTGTTTTATGTCCAGAAATGTCTACTAATTTTGAAGACATTGCTTCACATTCCATCACTTGGGTAGGTTTTTATCTCAAGTATGGACTATTTTATATGCCATAAGCGCTGAACTACTTTGATAAACTGGAGCCTTTCTTGCTCGCTATGATTGAAAATCACATAGAAAGGATTGCTCCCAATCCTCTAGGATGGTTTCATTTACACTGTGTAAATTACAAGCCATGACCCCATACATTCTCACATTCATTAGGTATTTCTTCCATTTGAGTTCAGAGACTTGGTGAGCTCTGCCTGCTACAGAGGCAGCCTCATCCTGCTCCCATCCAGGGCACTCCCTCCCTCATAGGTTCTCTTCTGGGATGTGCCACTATAACTTCCCACATATATCACACTTAAAGACTCCTCTCCAGTATGGGTTCTTTTATGCTTGGTGAGATTTGATCGGATATTGAAAGCCTTACCACACTCATTACATCGGTATGGCTTCCTTCCAGTGTGGATTCTTTTGTGCTGGTCAAGGACTGATCTATAATTGAAGGATTTCCCACACTCACAATTATAGGGCTGCTTCCCCTGGTGGACACTTTTATGGTTGATAAGACTTGAGTGTGAGATGTATGCCTTCCCACACTCATCACATTCATAGGGTTTCTCACCTGTGTGGATCCTTTTATGCACTGTGAGGCCTGAGCTGTTCCTGAAGGCCTTCCCACACCTATCACACACATAGGGTTTCTCCCCTGTGTGGACCCTCTTGTGCTGAGAAAGGAGAGAGCTGTAACTGAAAGATTTCCCACACTCGACACACTTGAAGGGTTTCTCTCCAAGATGGACTCTTTTATGGCTTATAAGAGTTCTGCTTGAGAAAAAAGCTTTTCCACACTCATCGCATGGATGCGGTGTCTTGCCGGGGTGGGTACTTTTATGGTTAATAAGGCTTGAGTGTGAGATGTAGGCTTTTCCACACACGTCACATTCATAGGGCTTCTCCCCGGTATGGATTCTCTTATGAACTTTAAGGCTTGAGTTGTTTCTGAAGACCTTCTCGCACCTGTCACATTCATAGGGTTTCTCTCTAGTGTGGACCCTTTTGTGCTGAGAAAGGAGTGATGTGTAATTAAAAGATTTCTCACACACATCACATTTGTAGGGCTTCTCCCCAAGATGAACTTTTTTGTGGTTTATAAGGGTTCGGTATGTGATGAAGGCCTTCTCACACTCATCACACTTAAAGGGCTTCTCCCCGGGGTGGACGCTTTTATGATTTATAAGGCTCGAGAGGGAGATGTACGCTTTCCCACATTCTTCACATTTGTAAGGTCGTTCCCCAGTGTGGATTCGTTTATGTACTTTAAGGCCGGAATTATTTCTGAAAGCTTTTCCACACTCATCACACCCAAAGGGTTTTTCCCTGGTATGAATCCTTTTATGCTGCTCAAGGGCAGAGCTGTAGTTGAAGGATTTCTCACAATAGCTACATTTATAGGGCTTCTCCCCAAGGTGGATTCCTTTGTGATTTTTAAGGCTAGAGCGTGAGATATAGGCTTTCCCACACACATCACACTTATAGGGTTTCTCCCCAGTATGCAGCCTCCTGTGGACTTTGAGGCCTGCATTGTTTCTGAACGTTTTCCCACACACATCACATACATAAGGTCTCTCTCCGGTGTGAATAGTTCTGTGCTGAAGAAGAAGTGAGTTATAACTGAAGGACTTCCCACACTCCTTACACTCATGGGCTTTCTTTCCAGGGTGAATGCTTTTATGGACTGCGAGGCCTGAGCTATAGCTGAATGCTTTGCCACAGACATCACACTTGTAAGGTTTCTCTCCCGTGTGGATCCTTTTATGCACTATGAGGCCTGAGCTGTTCCTGAAAGCCTTCCCACATTCGTCACATTCATAAGGTTTCTCTCCAGTGTGGATGACTTTATGCTGAATGAGAAGAGAGCTATAATTAAAAGATTTCTCACACTCATCACATTTATAGGGTTTATCTCCAAAGTGGATGCTTTTATGGTTGAGAAGTGTTCTACAAGTAATGAAGGCCTTCCCACACTCATCACATTCATAAGGTTTCTCGCCTGTGTGGATCCTTTTGTGGACCCTAAGGCCAGAGCTGTTACTGAAGGTTTTCCCACAGATGTCGCATTCATAGGGCTTCTCCCCCGTGTGGATCCTTTTGTGGACTCGGAGCCCAGAGCTGTTCCTGAAGGCCTTTCCACACTCACCGCACTCATAGGGCTTCTCCCCAGTGTGGATCCTTTTATGCTGGTCCAGAACAGAGCTATAATTGAAGGATTTTCCACATTCATCGCATTTGCAGTTCTTCTCCCCAGAATGGGTGCTTTTGTGGTTTATGAGGCTGGAGTAGGACATGTAGGCTTTCCCACATTCCTCACACGCGTACGGCTTCTCCCCAGTGTGGATCCGCTTGTGGACCCGAAGGCTGGAGCTGCTTCGGAAGGTCCCTCCACAGTCGTCACATTCATAGCGCTTCTCCCCAGTGTGCATAATTTTATGTTGAACAAGGCGGGAATTATATTTGAAGGATTTCCCACATTCATCACATTTATGTAATTTCTTAACAGCATTGGTTTTCTGCTGTAGAGTAGGGTGGGAGGTTCCATTAATGTTCTCCACACATTTGCCTTGCTCACTGCCTCTCTGTCCTACAGGCATAGTCTGGTGTGTGATATGCTGTGGGCTCAGACGCAAGCTCTTCTCAGATGCCTCACCTTCCTGTTCTGTCTTTGTATTTGCTGTACTCTTGGCTGTGCTGATTGCTTCCCTGATGCAGCTTTTGTCTTCCTTCATCCTGTTTTCCACAGGTTTTTCCTGCTGACTCTCTACCTTGCTATCCCAAACACACGTGTCACCAACCTTAGACTCAGGCACAGGATCCCTGTGAAGACCTTCCCCTTTCGGCCACTTAGATTCTGTATTTCCAGCATTTGCATATTCTTCAGCTGGTTCCTCATCCTCAGTGCTCGTCTTCAAATGTGACACTAAACCGAGAAAATGAAAAGGACACCTGTTCACTCTCTTTAAAAACGAACAAACTGGAATAACAACAAACAACAAAGTTTGCTCGCTCAACTGACAAACACTTACTGACAACACACTGTGTGATAAGTACCATGTACTGTTTTTTAAGTACTAGGGATACAACAATGAATATGACAAAAGTTCTGCCCCTGTGGAACTAATGTTAAAATGCTAGAGCCCTGGATTTTCAATGGAACAATGAGCTTTTCTATTCTTGCATAACAGCTTAGCATTGGGCAAGGTGAAATGATTCACAGAACCATGGGCAACATCAATCAGTTTTTAAACAATGTCATCCAGTCATGGAAAAACAAACAAGAGGGCAGAAGAAATCTCTGAGGAATAGAAGCAGAAAAATTCCTAAGTAAGACAAAAGTTAGGTGAAACTTTTTTTTAAATTGTGAAAAGTGAGACAAAATCAGCAGAGGACAGACAACACTAAAGAGAAAAAATCAGTATCTGGGGAGGGGTTATCAGGGAGAAGGCTATGAAACCATGAAGACAGTTACTGCAGAGATGAGAAAGAAGGCAACCTGCATATTACATATTAAAATATATCATTAAACCTCTATAATTAAAATAGTGTGGTCCTGGTACATAGACAGGCAGAGGGAATAGAACAGGAAGTCCAGACACTGTCCCAGGTAGACACAGAAATTAATAATAAAGATGATATCTGCAATTACCGGAGAAAAGATGGTCCTTTTAATAGTGTTGTAGCAACTATGAAGCCATATGGAAAAAGATAAAATCAGGGCCGGGTGTGGTGGCTCACACCTGTGATCCCACCAAAATCAGGGCCGGGCACGGTGGCTCACACCTGTGATCCCACCAAAATCAGGGCCGGGCGTGGTGGCTCACACCTGTGATCCCACCAAAATCAGGGCCGGGCGCGGTGGCTCACACCTGTGATCCCACCAAAATCAGGGCCGGGCGCGGTGGCTCACACCTGTGATCCCACCAAAATCAGGGCCGGGCGCGGTGGCTCACACCTGTGATCCCACCAAAATCAGGGACGGGCGCGGTGGCTCACACCTGTGATCCCACCAAAATCAGGGACGGGCACGGTGGCTCACACCTGTGATCCCACCAAAATCAGGGCCGGGCGCGGTGGCTCACACCTGTGATCCCACCAAAATCAGGGCCGGGCACGGTGGCTCACACCTGTGATCCCACCAAAATCAGGGCCGGGCGCAGCAGCTCACACCTGTAATCCCACCACTCTGGGAAGCTGAGGTGGGTGGATCACGAGGTGAAGCAATTGAGACCACCCTGGCCAACATGGTGAAGCCCTGTCTCTAGTAAAAATACAAAAATTAGCTGGGCGTGGTGGCGTGCACCTGTAATCCCAGCTACTCGGGAGGCTGAGCCAGGAGAATCACTTGAACCTGGGAGGCAGAGGTTGCAGTGAGCCGAGATCGTTCCACTGCACTCCAGCCTGGTGACAGAGGGAGGCTCCATCTCAAAAAAAAAAAAAAAAAAAGGAAAAGAAAAAGATATAATTAGATCCCATTCTTCACACCACACACACACAAATAAACTCTATATGGAATAGAGCTCTAAATATAAAAGAGCTGTACAAATGCTAGAAAACATGGGTAAATGCCTCCACGACTTGAGTATAGAGAAAGTTTTCTAACAATGACTCATACGCAACAAAAGACTGATATGTTTTCAAAAATTGAAGAAAAATAAACTAAAAATCATGCAGGTAAACAGGCAAAAAGATAAACAGACAATTCTTTTAAGTGATCCTTAAACATTCAACTTGATTCATAATAAGAGAAAGGCAAGTAAGAACTACTGTAAAACACCACTTCTCACCTGTCATATTAGCAAATGTTCAAAGCTTGACAATACACTGTTGACAAGGCTGTGGAGGAAACAGGCACTCTCATACACTGCTGGGAATGCAAACCGGCACAGCCCTTTTAAGGGGAATTCACCAATATCTAACAAAACCATATATGCATTTACCCAGAAATCCTATTTTATGAATTTATAAGGAGGATAACCCTCCAAAAAATATAAAACACGTACGTGCACAGAGTGATGATTCATTATAGCATTATTTGTCACTGCAAAATCTGGAAACCTACGTAAATCTCCAAGCACAGAAGACTGGTTAAATAAACTGGCACATATGCACAATGGAGTATTAAAAAAGGATGAGGAGCATTTCTGAATTGATATGGAGCAATTTGTATATCCTAAAGTCAAAAGGTCAAAGTGAAAAAGAGTAATATACATGCTACGTTTTGTGTAGGAAAGAAAACAGGAAAAGCAGCACGTATGTGTTTCTCTTTATAGTAATGATAAACCAGAAAACAATGAGGTTCATTGCCTACAAGGGAGGAGTGTGGAGAATGGAGCAGAAGGAATGGGGGAGAGAGACTGAGTATATAGCCTTTTTAATAGTTTTTACTATACAAAATACATGATAATATTCTACATATTCAAACAATAAAATTAAACATCAAGAGGATGGGAAAGGGGAAAAACTGCTAAAACAGAAAACAAATCAACCTACTTGCATTTCACATGAATACCACAATCGCAGGAAGAGAACAAACAAAAAGGAAACACAGAACTAATCCAGGCAACTTAGAAACTATTTGACTACCTAAGTCCATTCAGTCTGGGGAAAGCTGGAGGCGGGGCAGTGGCAGTGGGAAGAGGCACAAACAATTCAACTGTTAGCAGGTTTTCTGCAGAGGTATGAACAGCAATTCTGAAACAACTTAAGATGTATTAAGAACTTGAGTAAATGTGTTGATTTTGTTGGGCTCAGGGCTCTCCTAAAGAAAGGGACATAAAAATAAGGAATAAAGGAAGGCAAAAATGAATCCTGGGATGAATTCGAAGTACTGGTGTGAACTTAGGATTTCTAAATCACATATATGTGCACGCATGTATATTCAAGTCCGTATAGCTGTATGCATATATCTGCATGTATTTCCTAGTTCTGTTTGCTGAAAGCCCAAAAAACAAAAACACTCCAGTGGTAATGAGCACATCTAGTACCCTCATTCTGGGTCTCTATTACCATTACTTACTAAAAGGTACCACAGCTTCTCAAAGAAATGGCTGATTTCAGGCTGAGAGCAGGAAACATACAAGAAGAACATCATGTTACACCAGCAAGTAAAGAGAGGCTCAAAAACAGGGTAGGGACATGCTGCAAGACCCAGCTTGCACATCCAGTGTTCATGTTCAAGCACCATAATAACTTTAGGCACCATAATAACTAAGTATAGTGATACACTATAAACCACTGAAGATAGGCTTTCATGAGTCTACACAGGTACAAACAGGATAGAAATGGAGGCCTCTTGCTTACAGCAGAATGTGAGTGCTGGTTGATAAACGTAGAAGGAATACCAGAATTGGAAAAATCAGCTTTCTGCAACTATCAGAGTAAAGACTGGATCAGGAGAGAATCATCAATGAATTCCACGTCTAAGAGGAAATTCTGAAAGGGGCAAGATATCTGCATAGCCTTAAACATTTATAATGCTTAAGTTATTTACAAGGGGGAAAAATGCAAGAGTGGAGAGACAATGCCTTGGCCAGGTGTTCTAATTTAACACCTCCAGTGGGGCAGATGGACATAACATGCTTTTAGTTGGGAGAAGGACACATCACCAATGAGAATGCATTACCTGAACTGAATCAGCAGGTAAACTCAAAATGAAAAATGTTTTCTACTAAAACAGAGGGTGGAGAGAAGAGGGGGGACTATACTTTTCAAATACATCATTTTCATAAAAGACGAAGAGCTGTAGAAATGTTCCAGATTAAAGAAGGCTAAAGAGATCTGACCACTAGATTAAATTCCTGACCCTGACTGGATCTGCAGTGGAGGGAAAATTGTGATAGAAACAATTATATCAGCTGACAAAGGTGGAATATGGATGGTAGACTAGGTAAAAGCAGTATCAACTTCAAATTGACTCAATTTGAAAACTGTACTGTAGTTATCTATGAGACTATCCCAATCCTTGGGAAATACACTGAAGTATTTAGGGATAAAGGGCCATAATGTACATAACTTACCTACAAATGGTTTAGAAAAATACTAGCATGTATGAAAGACAGCAAGAGGACAAAATGAAGTCAAATGTTAACTGCAGGTAAATCTGAGTAATGGGTATCTTTCTACTGTTCGTATTCTTGAATTTTTTCTGTGCATTTAAAATTATTACCAAACAAAAAGTTTTCAAAATGTCGGAAAGCAAATTTGTTTCCTCTTCTACACCTTCCCCTCCAGGTACTGCTTCGCCGTCCTACTGCCTGTTACATCTGGAAAAGTGGTCTTCACATCCCACTCCCACTCTCCTCATGCCTCATTTCTTCCACTCAGACCCCACTGCATTAGCTTCTTCAGGGTGGTGCTTGCCCTCGGGGCTGCTGCCCCCTGGATGTTTCCGGCCCCTCCTTCCACCTTGAGCCTTTCCTCTTCTGGCTCCCCATACTCCCCTGGGAGCCCTCATGGCTCCCAGCACTCCCACACACCGTCTCAGGTCCTCATCTCTGCCCAAGATCCCTCTCAATTACAGATCCTCATATCCACCTCGCCCCCCACCCTCTGCCTAAATCAGAAGTGGGCTATTTCCCGTGGCCACATCCAAAACAGCCCCGGGGACCGCTGATTCTATTGCCTAAGTAGTTCCGAAGCTCCCACCCCATCCCCCACCTGCTTCTTACTGCTAAGGCCTTAGTTTAAGCCTTCTAAATTCTCTTCTGGACTACTGCCATCGTTTCTCGACCTTCACTCTTATCCCTGCCCAATTCTTTCTCCAACCACTGTCAAGAGTTTTTGTAAAATGCACACCTAGTCACTGGGCAGTGCCAAGTTCTCCCTGGCTACTTACTGTGGCACCTAAAGCCTTCTGCACCAGCCGCCTGTGCAACTGTCACCCCTCACTGCCACTCCACTCACTGATTCTCAGTCTGATCTTTCCTCCTTTGTTTCTTCGACAGGTGGATTATTAGTTTTCTTCCCGTCCTCTGGGATTCCATGTTAGACTGGCTGCTGACTGGCCTGGTCTGCCTAAAATCACAGACACATTGCCACTTACCTCTCTAACCTAAGTGCAGGCCAGGGGCCTCCCTGTTCTGGCTCTGCTTAAACCCCTCTGTTTGGGTTGGAGGCACAATGTCCCGTCACCTGATGTAGTTCATCCAATTCTCTTCTTGAGTGAAATCAAGATGGATTAATAAAAACATGATCTTCACTGAAAATACATGGCTTGAAATGAAATCTGTATTAATCAATACTAAGATCCATCAAAAACAGGCAGAAAAGCAACAAGACAGCACTAGAGTACATGCTGCTAAAACATAAAAACAATGCAAAGAATGTAACATATAAGGATAATTAAGTTATCCTTATAAACAATACTGAAGATGCATTCTAGTATATCAGTTCTTTCTGAGGCTAATTGTTGCGCAAGGAACTTAGACCATTATCTGTATCCTGTTTGTTTTCCGGGCCCTGGGCTATTCCTATCCAAAGAGATGGATATGACAAGGCCCTGCCATCAAGGCGCCTGCAGACTAGTAGGAGAGTCTGGTAGGAAAACAACCATGTGATAAAAATGACAGAGTCTCACTCTGTCGCCCAGGCAGGAGTGCAGTGGCATGATCTCAGCTCACTGCAAGCTCTGCCTCCCAGGTTCACGCCATTCTCCTGCCTCAGCCTCCCAAGTAGCTGGGACTACAGGCGCCCGCCACCACGCCTGGCTACTTTTTTGTATTTTTAGTAGGGATGGGGTTTCACTGCATTAGCCAGAATGGTCTCGATCTCCTGACTTTGTGATGTGCCCACCTCAGCCTCCCAAAGTGCTGGGATTGCAGGCATGAGCCACCACACCCAGACCCTTTTTAAAAATTATTTATTATTATTTTCTTTTTTTGAGGCGGAGTCTTGCTCTGTCGCCCAGACTGGAGTGCAGTGGCTCACTGCAAGCTCCGCCTCCTGGGTTCACACCATTCTTCTGCCTCAGCCTCCTGATTAGCTGGGTCTACAGGCACCTGCCACCACACCCGGCTAATTTTTTGTATTTTTAGTAGAGACAGTGTTTCACTGCGTTAGCCAGGATGGTCTCAATCTCCTGACCTCGTAATCCGCCCACCTCAGCCTACCAAAGTGCTGGGATTACAGGTGTGAGCCACTGCACCCAGAGTTTTTTTTTTTTTTTTTTTAAATCAGACTGAAGTCTGGAGTGAAATGGCATGGTATCTGGAATTTGCTTTAAAATATTTCCATCAAGAAAAACTAAAAAGGGAAAAGTTAAACAGCAGAATCCTGATAACTGCTGAATCCAAGTGATGGGTATATGGAAGTTCATAAGAAAAAACTTTGGGCCGGGCACAGTGGCTCACCCCTATAATCCCAGCACTTTCGGAGGCCGAGGCAGGCGGGTCACCTGAGGTCAGGAGTTTGAGACCAGCCTGGCCAACATGGTCAAACCCCGTCTCTACTAAAACAAACAAACAAAAAACAAAGAAAATTAGCTGGGTGTGGTGGCGGGCGCCTGTATGTCTGTCTCAAAAAAAAAAAAAAAAAAAAAAGAGAAGAAAAAAATTTTAAAAAGAAAGATCAGGCAAGGTGCAGTGGCTCACGCCTGTAATCTCAGCACTTTGGGAGGCTGAGGCAGACAGATCACTTGAGGCTAGGAATTCAAGACCAGCCTGGCCAAGGAGGCGAATCCTTGTCTCTACTAAAAACACAAAAATTAGCCAAGTGTGGTGGTGCACACCTGTAGTTCCAGCTACTTGACTTGGGAGGGTGAGGCACAAGAATTGCCTGAACCTGGGAGGCGGAGGTTGCAGTGAGCCAAGATAGCGCCATTGCATTCCAGCCTAGGTGACAGAGCGAGACTCTGTCTCAAAAAAAGAAAAGAAAGATGACTCATACTAGTTGCAGTGGGAGAATGGATTAAGGCAAGACAGGACTGAGTCCTGGAGTTCCAGGAATAAGTCACTATAATCCAATCAAGACTGATGTAGTGGCTAAGTCATGTGTCCCCTATGACACAAGTAAGGAATTACCCCCAAAACACAATTCTTCCATAGAAAGACCCAGAAACTTTTGAATTTCTTAAAAGTTCTAAAGGCAGAATGGGCAAGCCCTTTCTAACCAGTTTTCAACACGTAGCCTGACTCTAATAGCCTGGTTACATCAGTCAAAACTGTCAGACATAGAATGCCATCCACTCCTTCCAAGCTATATATAACCAACAACCTCTGGGTACTTCTGTGCTTCTTTCTTGTTCATGCTCTATCGCCAAGGCCTAGAAAAGTGAATGCAAATAGTAAGAACCTGCCCTAAATTCTTGCTGTCTCTGCCTCCAAGACTCAGGAGCCACTTTTCAAGAGCCTAGACAACTTGTAAGACAGAAACTGTGGCCTGCTCCGGCTGAAAATTCCTTCCTATTAGCAGATTGCAACCAGCCTGGAACTACTGTGAATTTGGAGTCCAACCATATTCCACAAGACAATTTTACCACCTCAAGGTTCACGCGTGGATTCTATACCTTAAGTTCTTGCATACTGTATTTGATTTGGAGATGACCAAAGAAAGGAAAAAAGACAAGAGAAAGTGACCACAAAATGCTTATCAACCCAGAAGAAAGAGTACCTAGGAGGGGGAAAATGTGCAAAGGAAAGATGGGACTAAGGAATAGAGAAGTGATATGCAGATGAGAAGAGAATATGGTTTGTGTTCTAGCTATTGTTGCATTTGTCTTATGAATATTAGGAATGTAGATGGTTAACGTGAGTTGCTTCTATTGCTTAAATATAGAAATAAGAATGAAAGGTGATTTTTCCTTAAAGTAAAAATCTGAAGTAGAACATTCTCAAACCAAGTAGTGGAGAAGAGATTTCTAGGGAGCAGGTGAGCAAAGGAGATACTAAAAGGGAGGCTGATTTTCTGAATTAAAGCCAGCAGGGACTGGCTTGGAGTCACTGACATAGTCTGTTAGGCTAGTGTAACACTAAATATAGTGACAAGTCGAAGGAGGGAAGGACTACTTAAGTTTTATTTGTTCTTTAAACACTCTACATCAGTGATTTTGATAATGACTGTCATATGTAACAATCTGCCAATATCTGGTTGAGTTAATGTAAAAAAAGAATTTTCTAATGGCTGTTAGGTTTCTTCTTTAAAAATCCTTATCGTAATACACTGTATTGAGTATACCATTGTTTGAAACAACGAAAAATTGGAGATAACCCAAATGCCCCCGAATAGATCTAAAAAAGGACAGAACACCGAAAACATCCAAACAAATGGCCCATCCAATACTTACCACAGCTCCGTAAAACAAAACAGAACAAAACTTCTGTGTTCTGATATGTAGAGACCGGTAAGATAAAGTGAAAGAATCAAGGGGTTAGAAGGATTTCTATCACCTGTGTGATAAAAGCGGGCACTAACTAGTGATATTCACCAGTACTTGCAGAAAGAAATTTGGAAAAGATACAAAGGAACAAATTACCTAAGAGGGTAGGGCTTAGGAAGATAGCTAAGAGGGATGGAGGAAATCTTTCACTGGTAACTTTTAATATTTTTAATATCCCCGCCATATGAAAGTATTACATATTTCATATATATTTTTTTAAGCCTTGGGCTTTCACAAAGAAACGCTCCTGCTGGCCAACTACTTTAAAGGTCTTAGAGCAGCACACCCAGCCCTGGCATTCCCCAGTGATCTTTTCCGTCCCCCCGCCGGGTTCCCGCAGGCTGTGTCCCCGGGTCTAAGAAACTCCTCGATCTTCCTCTCCCTCCCTAGTTAACTCCTTTTCTGCTGGCAGGAACCCGCGGCAGGTCGCCTCCCCCCGGTGCACCCGTCTGGATGCAGGTGCGCTTCCCCAGGTGAGGGCCAGGACGCGCCTCCGGGGTCTCCATTCACCCTGCAGCAGGAGCTTATCCTCCTCACTCACGGATCAAAACAAAAAGGTGTGTGTCGGGGGGCGGGGAGAAGGTCGAATCAGACCGCCCCTAGAGGTCTCTCTGCCCTCGCCATCACTCTCAAGTCCTCGAGTACCAAACCTAACTTCAGAGGGAGCACGAAACGGTGGGTATTTTGAAGCACTAATTTTTAGGAATCCCCCTCCCATCCAAGACGGGGATGAAGAGTTGCGGAACACCGGAGCGGGGCCCTGGCCCTTCTCGGAACACTGACCAGACCTAGCACGACGCTGGTCCGTTCAGAGGTGGCAGCTGTGGCCCACAGGAGCCCAGTCCGTTCCAGGGGCGCGCCCCGCACCCCGCTGCCTGCCCGAGGTCCTCCCTCCCCTCCGCTCCGCTCCCCAGGAACGCGCTACCGAGATCTGTGCAGGGAGGGGGCACGCTTACTCCCAGATCCCGCCCGAGACCCGCGGGGCGGCCAAGACCCGGCCAAAAAGGGAAGGGCGTGGCAGGCAAGGGCCGGGGGCGGGAGCGCGGGCGGCCGCGGACTCACGTACTGGCTGTGGCGGCGCCGCGGGAGCCCGGCCGCCGGCGGGACAAAAGCGGGGACCGCACGGCCGGAAGAACCCGCGCCGGCCCTGGGGCACTTCCGCGCCCTCTCTGGGACGCTGGAGGACTGACTCGATGGTCCGGCCGCCCGCGCCGGCGGGAGGGAGGGGAGCGCCTGCCTCGGCTATTTATTGAGCGCCAGCTGCAGGGCGCGCGCTGGGGGCGCGGCCAGGAGACCGTGGGCGGGGCTTCCTGTTTCCGTGCATTTTACCTTGGGGGGGTTGGGGGCGGGGCACAGGTAATAAAGTAAATACCTGCCTACGCACCCGCAGGTGTTCCTGAACACGTGACTAGTTGCCAGGTGGGTGCGGGGACGTTCCCGGCAGGGGGGCCTGGCGGGAAATGGGGAACCCGGGAGGGGCGCAGGACAGCGCTGGGCTGGGGACCCACTGCCTTCCCAGCTGGTTGGGGGCTGGCCCGAGAGCACCAGCCGTTCCTGGTCGTCAGCACCAGAGGCGCCCCCGGCTGGGCACTGGGGATGCGGAGAAGGAGCGGCCCCTGGGACCGGGCCGCACTCCCAGCCGGGGCGCCAGCTTGGCAGCGACCTCGCCCCCTGCCCACCCCACCCCCGGTGTCGGCTTCCAAACCCAGGGCCTAAAATGAATTTGAAGACCTTTTTTTTTTTTTTTTTAAATTAATTTTTGTGGGTACATAGTAGGTGTCCCTATTTGTCGAGTACGTGAGATATCTTGATACAGACAGGAATGCAATGCGTAATAGTCGTATCAGGGTTAATGGAGTATCCATCACTTCATTTATCCTTTGTGTTACAAGCAATCAAATTATATTCTTAGTTATTTTAAAATATACAACCAAGTTATTGGCTATAGTCAGCCTTTTTTAAAAACAGCAACATCTAAATATTTTTCATATTAAGTTTAAATAATTGCAAAGGGTATATTTTTGGCATGCTGTTAATATTAAAAACAACAAAGTTGCTTTATTCTTTCAGGGGTATCCAATGGAATCTAAATCCCTGAAGATTTGGTATTACCCACTTTTAACACTCATAAGTTTTACATCTTTTGGGGTTTTTTTCCTTGAACTTTTATGTCCCTCACCGGCTTTTTATTCTACTGTAAAAATATTTTCACTCTATGTGCCTCATTGAATTTTATCCTAGTGTATAATTTTATCCTAGTGTATCTGACACCGTGCCTGTCAGATACTAGTGTAAAATAGTTTTATGCATTTTTATTGTTTATTGTTTACCCTAGCATGTATCTCCGTAACAAATTAAATTACACTTTTTTCCCTCTTAGGGTTAATTATTTTCTGGATTATTAGCAAAATTATATATATATATCAAAATGTTTACTGTTAATTCTTAGACAAAAAGTGAAATGCTTTGGAAGCACAACACAACTTGTAATGCGATGGATTTTGTTTTACAGCTCAAATTATTTATATTATTTGAATGAATTTTACATATTGCTGGGGTGAGCCAGTGTTTGGCATCAGCTGGACGCCTATTTTTCATTTTCATACATGTGGGTGCTGAGACACAGTGTTCACTTAAGTAGAGGGAATGGGCGTTTCATTGTAGCACTAAGCCCTTGACCGCATTTGGGCTTCACACCACAACCCCACCCACCTCAAAGAAAGTCTGGGCGAGTTAACAGGCAGCGGCAACTCCTAAGGAGGAGTAGAGCCCCAGGCCCAGGCCTGCAGCTTTAGGTGAGAGCACCAGGGCCAGTAGAGGATTGGGAGGTGATTCCCCTAGAACTGCCCCCAAAGGACAGCCAGACGCTTGCAGCTGTTGAGCCCTTGAAATGTGGGCAGTGCTGCTGAGGATCTGAATTTTTAATTACATTTAATTTAAATAGCCACATGTGGCTATGGCTGCCTTATTGGCTAGCACAGCTCTAGAAGGAGCTTTGGGTGGTCCTCACAGGCCTCCAGAATTAAAGCTGCCCTTAAAGGTTCATGGTAGTCAAAGCCTGGGTTTTTACCTCTAGGCAACAAGACAGAAAAATATTCACGTCCAGGTTGGAACACTTCGCTCCATGAAAGGTGGTATGTGTGCGGAAGGGATTATGGGAAACCCACATAAATCATCTTAAGTCAGATGCTTTTTATTTTATCTTATTGTTTGTTTGTTTTGAGACAAGCTCTCACTTTGTTGCCCAGGCTGGAGTGGTGTGGCATGATCATGGCTCACTGCAGCCTCGACCTCCCAGGCTCAAGGGATCCTCCCACCACAGCCTCCCAAGTAGCTGGGACTACAGGTGCATGCCACCACAGCCCCACTAATTTTTGTATTTTTTGTAGAGATGGGCCCTCACTATGTTGCCCAGGCTGGCCTCAAACTGCTGGGCTCAAGTGACCCATCTGTCTTGGCCTCCGGAAGTGTTAGAATTACAGGCGTGAACCACCATGCCTGTCAGATACTTTTTATTTTAGATGATGATTTTTCTTCCTTGAGCCTTGTTATATTGCAGGTACCTTTCATTTGGCCTGTGTCTACATAACACACACAGACACACATACACACAGACACAGGACACACACTTGCCTTTCTAACACCTGTCTTTTAGGGATATCTACAGGTCAGAGCTGAGTTCAGTAGGGCAGTCACTATTCACATGTAGCTTATGGTAGTGTGAATTGAGATGTGCTGTAAATGTAAAATCCACACCACATTTCTAAGACTTTGTAGGAAAAGAGAATGTAAACTATCTTACTAATAATTTTTAGGCCGGGCACGGTGGCTCAAGCCTGTAATCCCAGCACTTTGGGAGGCCGAGACGGGCGGATCACGAGGTCAGGAGATCGAGAACATCCTGGCTAACACAATGAAACCCCGTCTCCACTAAAAATACAAAAAAATTAGCCGGGCGTGGTGGCGGCGCCTGTAGTCCCAGCTACTTGGGAGGCTGAGGCAGGAGAATGGCGGGAACCCGGGAGGCGGAGTTTGCAGTGAGCCGAGATCGCGCCACTGCACTCCAGCCTGGGCGACAGAGCGAGACTCCGCCTCAAAAAAAAAAAAAAAAAAAAAAAATTTTTAATGTTGATTACATGCTGAAATAATATTTTGACTATATTGGGGTAGATCAAATACATGGTTACAATGAATTTTACCTGTTCCTTTTTACTTTAAATGCATCTACTAGAAGATCAGAAGTCACATACTTGGCTCACATTACATTTCCATTGAACAGCACTGCTCTAGGAGGCCAGTAGGTGCAGCAATGAGGTTGTTTGGGTTTGCTCTTGCTTTGGGGGCTCATCTACCTCCCTTTGGAGTGGTTTAAGTACAAACTAATGTTGAGCTATGCCCATAGGGCTTAATTCCCACTCTGTGTTTAGCCACTGGATTTGGTCACAAATTTATTTGTTTTTGTTTTTTCAGAGACGGGGTCTTGCTCTGTCACCCAGGATGGAGTGCAGTGGTGTCATCACATAGCTCACTGCAACCTCAATCTCCTGGGCTCAAGCAGTCCTCCTGCTTCAGCCTCCTGAGTAGCTAGGACTGTAAGTGTGCACCACTAGATCCAGATTAATTTTTTTTTTTTTTTTTTGTAGACGCAGTCTCACTTTGTTGCTCAGGCTGGAGTGCAGTGGCACGACCTCAACTCACTGCACTCTCGGCTTCCCAGGTTCAAGCAGTTCTCCTGACTCAACCTCCCGAGTAGCTGGGATTACAGGCACCCACTACCATACCCGGCTAATGTTTGTATTTTAGTAGAGACGAGATTTCACCATGTTGGCCAGGCTGGTCTCAAACTCCTGACCTCAGGTGATCTGCCCACCTTAGCCTTCCCAAGTGCTGGGATTACAGGCGTGAGCCACCGCTCCCAGCCTCAGATTAATTTTTTAATTTTTTTGGAGCTGTAGGGTCTTGCTGTGTTGACCAGGCTGGTCTCAAATTCCTGGGCCTCAAGTGATCCTCCCACCTTGGCTTCCAAAAGTGCTGAGATTACAGTTGTGAACCACCATGCCCAACTGCAAAGTTATTTTAAAATAAAATCTCTCCTCCCACTGTACCATAATATCACTTCATTATGTTAAATCTGGAAAACAGAAAAATTATTCTTAATTTAGTAAACTTTCTTTCTTTTTCTTTTTCTTTTTTACATGGAGTTTTTGCTCCTGTTGCCCGGGCTGGAGTGCAGTGGCACGATCTCAGCTCACTGCAACCTCCTCCTCCCAGGTTCAAGGGATTCTCCTGCCTCAGCCTCCTGAGTAGCTGGGATTACAGGCGCCCGCCACCATGCCCAGCTAAGTTTTTGTATTTTTAGTAGAGATGGGGTTTCATCATGTTGGCCAGGCTGGTCTCGAACTCCTAACCTCAGGTGATTCACTCGCCTCGGCCTCCCAGAGTGCTGGAATTACAGGTGTGAGCAACCGCACCCAGCCTAAACTTTCATTTTTTAAAAAAATAGAGACAAGGTCTTACTATGTTGCCCAGGCTAGTCTTGAACTCCTGAGCTCAGATGATCCCCCTGCCTCGGCCTCCCAAAGTGCTGGGATTACAAGCATGTGCCACCACATCCAGCCCATAATTTAGTAAATTTTCTTACTTAGTAGACTTTAGCTTAGTAAACTTTTTTTGTCACCAATTTGTGAGTGTTTTTCAGATAGTGCCATAATAATACTATATCTGTATTTTTATATAGCATTTTTACAAATAATATACATTAGCATTTTTCATGTTTTTAGTCTTTGTGATATTCCATTAAACTATAGTCTCCTTAACTATTCTGCGTAACTCACTGAGGTTTTTTTCTAAGTATGTCTTTTTAAAAAAATAAATTAGTGCTGTTTTAGATAGTGGCGTGCATAACGCTTTCATCGTATTTTCCTTGGAATAATTGACAAGAAGAGGAATCACTGGTTCAATAGAACATTTTTAAGAGTCTTAAAATAAGAACAATAGGGAATTAGAAAGACTAATAAGCTTAGTAGGTAAACACTGGAAGCAATCAGAGTAAAGAACTAGACAAGGTCGTTACCCATCACTACTATTATTTCCCATTGCAGCTGGATTAAACAAAGAAAAAAGAAATCAGAATATAAACATTGGAATGCAAAGATGTAATTGTCTTATTTGCAGTTAAGATTTCATTTTTGGAAAACTCACAAAAATTAAAAAAACTAGAATAAATGAGAATGCTGTAAGGTGTGTAGTTTCAAAATTAACATACAGAAATCAAGTTTCCTTCTATGGAAACCACAGTTGGAATAATGGAAGGAAAGACTACATTTACAACAGAAACAAACAAGACCAAATGCCCAGGAATTCACGACTCATGTGCAAGACCCTTATGAAGAAAATTTACAGTGCTCCCGGGGACGCAGAGGATGAACTAAACTTATGGAAAGACCCCTATGAAGAAAATTTACAGTGCTCCCGGGGACGTGGAGGATGAACTAAACTTATGGAAAGATTCTTGGATGTTCCATTCACATGAATGGATACACTTGACATCAGAATAGTCATTTCCTGTAAATTATAATTGTCACGATCCCAATAAAAGCGATAGAATCTTTTGCAACGCACAATTGATTCTAAAGTTCACAAGGACAAATTAACAGGCTCTTGCTTGTTTCTAGCCAGAAAATGCCTATAAAAATATGAATGATGCAAGGCACTATTAAAGCACATTAATAATTAAGCTGGTATAATTCTGAGACGTACGTATAAAGTCTAGAAATAGACCTAAACAGTCATGGGTATTGGGCATCTGGTGAAGCTATTATTTCAAACTAGTGGCAAAGACAGAGCAGGGACAGCTGGAAGCATTGGGGAAAAAATGAAGTTGGATTCAAACCGCAGCCCTTACACCAGGACCAATGCCAGGTGTATCCAAGACTTAAATGTGAAATGCACACACTAACCGTCATGGCGGCTGCTCCCACTTCCGTAAAATTTTACAAAGAAAAAAAACAACAACAGCAGGAGATTTCTTTGCTCATATTGGACTGAGGGAGGGTTTTTGTTTTCTTTCTTTCCTTTTTACTATAACGCAAAATCCAAAAACTGTAAAAGTAAAGATAGATCAATTCAAATACATAAAAATAAAATACTTTCGTGTGGCAAAACCACCACAAGAAAAGTAAAAAAAATCAAATGACTAACTGGAAAAAATATTTGCATGTTACATCACAAAGGGCAAATTTCCCTGATACACAGAGCTTCTCCAAAATTGAAAAGATGAACAACCCAGTGGAAAAATGGGCTCACAGAAAAGCTTATACAAATGATTCAAAAAAAAAAAAAAGCAAGTCCAAACTACACGGAAACACAATCTTTCTCTTATTAGAATTGCGAAGATCCTAAGTTTGATGCACGCGATGGTGGTGATGGCATGGCGGGGAAGCATTCTTCCGCCCTGCCGGTGGAGTGTTGACGGACCCCACCTCCAGGGAAGGCAGCATGCAGTATGGATGGACGTGCACGTACTCTTTGGCGCGGCAGTTCTCCTCTAGAAATCTGCCCTGCTGGTATAGTCACACACTCATGAAATGGTGTGTGAAAAGGTTATTCACAATAGCGTTTCTAAAGTAAAAGATGGAGAAAACCGAAAGGTCCAAACTAAAGAAATGATTACATAAGTTATTGTATATTCACAGGTGTTAGTTTGCCAGGGCTGCTGTAACAAAGTACCCCACACAATGTGGCTTAAATAGGAGAACATTATTGTCTCACAGTTTTGGAGGCTGGATGTCTGAGATCAAGGTGTCAGCAAGGTTGGTTCTTTCTGAGGCTGTGAGGGAGATTCTGTTCCACGTTTTGTGCTTAGCTGCTGGTGGTTTGATGGAAATCCTTGGCGTTCCTTGGCTTGTGGACACATCACCCAATCTCTGCCTTTATCTTCACACCACGTTCTCACTGCGTGCATGCATATGTACAAATTTCCCCCTTTTTTAAGGAGACCAGTTATATTGGATTAGGGCCCACGCCAGCATGACCTCGACTTAACGAAATACATCTGCGATGACTCTGTTTCCAAATAAGGTCACATTAGGAAGTATCTGGGGTTAGGACTTCAACATATAAATTTTGGGGGAACACAGTTCAACCCATAAGAGCATGCAATGTACTACTTTCAGCCATAAAAAAGGATGAGGGGCCTCTTTATAAAATGGTACGAGAAAATCTTCAAGATGTATATTAAGTAATCAATGTGCCAAGCTATAATATGTTATAATTTGCATAAGAAAGGGTGAAATGAATGTGTACATATTTGTGTATGTTCATAAAAATGTTCCTGAAAGTTTGCACCAGAAACCACTAACCTGGGCTGTCTGTGAGGAGGTACCCGGGTTGCTGGAAGAGAAGGGTGGGAAGGAGAATTTTCAGTGCATATCGTTTTTATACTTGCATTTTGAACCACGAGAATATAGTATTTATTCAAAAATTATATGTAATCATAAATAATCCTAAATTGCATCAGATTGCTAAACAACTTCAAGAAGGAGTATTTCAGTTTATAGAGTTTCCACCTGTAAGTGAAAGCTCTTTACGCACTCACCTCCCCAGGACTGGGTTTTGGCAGGTTTGTTTTTTCTCTAAATTTGCAGGCAGCAAATAGTGTCTGGTTGTTTAATTTTCTTTACTCTTCTGTCATGTGTGTTACCCAGCTGAGCCATCTCTCCCAGGGAGTGCCCGTCGTGTCCTTAGATCAAGTCTTTCGGTACTTTTTGTAGAGTTTGTGTCCATTGTGGGAACACATTCTTTATTAGAGAAATTCACCTTTTGAATTGGCCATCAACTGCAGTTCTCTCTCCGGCTTGCCCTTTAGCACCAACAATTTCCTTTCATGCCTGGAAGCTTTACATGGATGTGTAAAATCTGCGTGGCAGGGGGCGCTGTTGAGCTGGAAGGGACTTGGGATGAACCTGGAGAAACCTGTTACCAGCGGCTCTTAAGGGATAACCCGTGGTCCCTGGGAAAAGGTCTAGAAGGCACAAGCAGCCTCCTACTGTTCTCATTTCTGGGTCCTGTGGAAAGGGAGGTGTCTATGTCAGAAGTCCTGACTGACACTTGCATCTAAAATGATAACAGCGAAAATTTTATGGGGCTTATTTTGTGCAAGCACTCTTCTAAATGCTTTAAATATATATATTGATATATTGAATCTTCTCAACAGCCCTTTGATGAAGGCACATACACCTGTTCTACAGAAGGGGAAACAGAGAGGGAAAGCAAATTGTCCCAGGACACACAGCTGGGTAGTTCTGAGGCTGGGATCTTTGACATCTTTGAAATGCTCTGCCCTGGGCACCTGCTGGTTCAAGCCCAGCTGCTTGTTCTCCTCGTGAAGATATATTCATCTCTGGTGGTTGTTCACAAGCCACAGAGTGCCAAGACCAAGCAGGAGGCTGTTAGGATGCCACCCATGCAGGCCTCTGCCAACTTGGCAGGAGGAGGCAATTTTTGTTTTAAAAGAGAGAGAGCTGGACCCTCTTGTACACATGGACTAACTCAGTTTCGTAAGACCTCGGGAAAGGAGAAAATCAAAGGAGCTATCGTTCCCTAACTTGGACAGAGAGTTCTTGGAAAATGGCACCTGCTCCAAGGTACTTTCTTGAATCTCTGTTGGGCTCTGGGTTTCTTAGGGGACTGGGCAGTTGGGTAATCTTTGGTCTCCGCTCCCTCATCTGGAATATAGGTAATAATACCTACTTCACAGAGTTGTTGTGAAAATTAAATTAGCATACGTAAGGCACTTAGAACTTGTATATATTGATATATTGAATCTTGTCAGTAACCCATTGATGACAGCACTGTATACATCCCCATTTTACAGATGGGGAACACAGAGGGTAAGAACTGTCTAAGGACACACAGCTGGGCAGTCTTGAGGCTCAGATCTTATGGTGCCATACAGCATGCACTATCTGAGCATTCATGATTGGTTTGCTGTGGTCACACTCCTGTAGGTATTGAGTCTTCCTGAGGGGACTGGATCACCTTTCTCTGTCTCCCTGGGAAGCAGAAGATCTTAGGACGGGATCTGAGGACTTGAAGAGTGCAGCCTTAGCTGGGTCAGTGGTTGACCCCTCCCTCTCTCTGGGTCTGGCTCTCGGAGTCCAGAGAAGCACTCGGGGAGCAGGTCAGGAGCTGGCAGGGAGTGCCCTGTAGGGGCTCCATGAGACTGCTCAGGGCCTGTGGGTGTGGAAGGTAGCCTGTGGCAGGTTATTCTCCGAACAGTAACACTTCTGAAGCATGAAGGTCTGGTCGTGGCTGGGCTAAGGAAAAATTACAAGAAAGGCTTATGTTCATATCAGCCTGTGTGGTGGGCACCAGGGTCCCTAGAACTTTGGAAATAATCTTTCTGTACAAAGCACTGTTACTAAACTGGAGGTGACAGCAGTGTAGACACACACACACAATCTGGACTGGCCCTGGAGAACATATGGAGTACCTCAAAGACCCAGAGATGCTAGAAAAGTGCAATGGTTTAGTCAGGATAGTTAGACGAGGTTGCAGTAACAAATACACCCTCCCTCCCAGTGGCCTAAGACAAGAAGGTTTGTTTGTTCTTCATGTAAACTTCCTTGTCAGTCAGTTTGCCCTCTTCCATCCTGCAGCCATCATATCTGGAATGTGTGGCCTTCAGAACTGCCACTGTAGAGAAGGCTGGAAGAGCCCATGGGATGTTTAAGGGCCCAGACGTGCGTTACGTCATTTAAAACCTCCTCTCCTTGACCAGAACCAGGTCACACAGCTCCGTTCTAACTGCAGAGGAGGCCGGGGCTTAGAGGATCTCGTGGACAGCTGGTGAATACTGGCAGTCTTGCCATAGTCAGGAAACTTCAAAAAGGGGAAAAGGCGCCCTGTGGCCACACTGCACTCTGGCCACAAGCTGGCATCATTCAACAACGTGGCCAGCGCGGCCTCATTGTTGCGTGAGCTGGTAAAACCCACATTCAGGTTATACAGGAATCCTTCATTAAAGTTTAGAGGTCCTTTCTCCTCCAACGCCCAGTTCTGTTTTTCTAAAATTAATTTTAAAATATATTTCCCTTTGATCTTTTAATTAGTGAACTATTACCATATAACAAATTGTCCCCAAAACTTGGTGGCTTAAAACAACAAACATTTATTATCCCACATGGAGATAGGGCTAGGAATTTGAAAGCATATTAACTGAGTGGCTGTGACTCAGGTCTTTTATGAGACTGTAGTGAAGATTGGACTGGGGTTGCAGTCATTTGGAGAAATGCCTCAGTTGGAGTTGGAGGATTTGCTTCCAAATTGGCTCGCTCCTGTGGCTGCTGGTGGGAGGCCTCAGTTTCTCATAGTATAGGCCCCTCCGCGGGCCTGCTTGAGTGTCCTCTTGGCATGACAAGTGATCCAAGAGAGAGGGCAACACAGGACTGTGGTGCTTTTTATGCCCTAGTCTCTGAAGTTGCACACCAGCGCTTTTGCCATGTGTTACTCTAGGAGAAGCAAATCACTAAGTCCAGCCCACACTCCAGGAAAGGGGACCTAAACTCCATCTCTTGAAATCAGGAATATAAAAGAATTTGTGGACATATTTTAAAACTACAACGATCTCCCTTGAATTTATTTTAGAACACCTGAGTTTCCCTCTCCTATGAAGAACTGATTGCCCTATTACCATTTACTCATTTAACTTCTCCATTGCTTTGAACTACTTTATAGTATTTTTTTTTTTTTTTTTTTGAGACGGAGTCTCGCTCTGTCCCCCGGGCTGGAGTGCAGTGGCGCGATCTCGGCTCACTGCAAGCTCCGCCTCCTGGGTTTACGCCATTCTCCTGCCTCAGCCTCCCGAGTAGCTGGGACTACAGGTGCCCGCCACCTCGCCCGGCTAGTTTTTTGTGTTTTTAGTAGAGACGGGGTTTCACCGTGTTAGCCAGGATGGTCTCGATCTCCTGACCTTGTGATCCGCCCGCCTCGGTCTCCCAAAGTGCTGGGATTACAGGCTTGAGCCACCGCGCCCGGCCTACTTTATAGTATTAAATCATCATCTACAAAAGGGCTTGTCATGGACCACCTATTTAGTTACATTGATCTGTCTGGCTTTTGTCAAGTCCAAGTACATTTAATTTTTTCAGAGGTCATAAAACTTTAAGCCAGACTACAAGTTCCCTAGTAGCATAGCCTCTAGATATACAAGGGATTATATTAAGTTGTATTAAGTGCAGGGTCTTAGCACACTATGAAGTGTACATTATGAAGTTGTACAGCCCTTGAAGGCAGTAGCAACTCGACTGACAGAGGCTCTGCCCCAAGCCAGGCAGTGATCATGCCGAGGGTCAGGCCAACCAGGGTGTGTGTGTGTGGCGGGGGTGGCGGGGGGGTGCTGGGGTACCAAGAATGGCAGCTGAACTGCATCTCATCTTTTGTTAGAAATCCAAAACTCTAGGCTTGCAGGATTTTACTTCACAGGTGTAGGCACAACCTGATGGAAAATGTGAATCCTGAAAACAGCAATATTTAATCTGTGTCTCATAGAGATGGCCCCGGCACAGACCTAGACAGGGCACAGCATGGGGCACTTGGTTCGTGGACGGGTTGTCGGGTCAGGGAGGTGGCACAGGATCACCTGAGCACATCCAGGACATCTGCCAGAGCCAGCCGTGTGAGGCTTTTGACTGTGGCGGGGGCACCTGCTGTGCTGAATGGCTGGCTCGCCTCTGGGATTTGGGAGGAAAACAGCCACCAAGGTGGATGCTGCCTCAAGACCTCTACCCTCCACTGGGGGAAGTTTCAATTCAGCTGTGGCCATGGGGTCCACAGCAAGACACCCTCCCACCCCATGAGACACAGAAGGAGGAAGAAGGAGGCTGCCATATGGGAATTAAAATATAAAGCTCCCGGCATAATACAGAGAATCAGCTCCTGACAAAGTAAGGCAAGAGACTCTCTACACACGTGGTTAAGTTATGCTCAGCCCTGACCCACAGCCGAAAGAGCAGGACTGGTTCGGGATTTCGGTCTGTCACCTGTGGCTGATGCTGCTGTCTGGCTCCCCGGTAGCCACCCCACTTCTCTTCTCTTTGACTGACAGAGCCCCAGAATTACTTGGGGGCAGCAATACGCCCAGACCAATCAGAATTGATGTAAGATGGCCAAGCACAGCGACTCCCATTCTCCTTTCCCGGATACTCAGTTTTGCTGCTTGCAGCTAAAGGAGGCCAGGTGACCTGTGTGGGCCATTGGGATGTGTGGGGAACTCTGGTATGAGCTTTGGGAAAGATTTTAAGACTAAAAAAGAAAACCGGGCTGGGCGTGGTGGCTTACTTTGGGAGGCTGAGGCAGGAGGATCTCTTCAGCTCAGGAATTCAAGACCAGCCTGGGCAACATGGTGAAACCCCTTCTCTACCAAAAATACCAAACAAAACAAAACAAAAAAATAGTGAAGCATGGTGGCGAGTGCCTGTGGTCCCAAATACTCGGGAAGTTGAGGTGGAGGGATCACTTGAGCCTGGGAGGTGAAGGTTGCAGTGAGCCGAGATTGCACCACTGCGCTCCAGCCTGGGTGACAGAATCAGACCCTCTCTCTCAAAAAAAAAAGAAAACAACAAACAAACAAACAGAAGAGCACAGAGAAGAGCTGGCTAGTACTGCCTATTCCCGCGTCCTCCTGTGTGATGCCTGGGTCCACTCCGGTCTTGTAACCATGAAGCAACACCCAGGAGGCCCTAAAGGCGGCTGATGAGGGCAGAGTAGGCAGACGGGTGTGTTGGTTAATTTGGTGTCAACCTGATGGGCCACAGGGTGCCCAGATCTTTGGACAACATTCTTCTGGTGTTTCTGTGGGGGTGTTTTGTATGAGATTGGGGGACCGAGGAAATCAGATTGTTGCTCCTCATGTGGGTGGGCTCATCCATTCAGACGAAGGCCTGAGAAGAACGCAAAGGCTGATCCGCCAAGTAAGAGGGAACTCCCCCGCATGGCAGCCTTCAAACTAGGGCATTGGCTATTTCACTCAGCCCGCAGACAGGAACTAAACCATCTGCTCTCCTGGGTCTCCAGCTTGCTGACTCACCCTGTAGATCTCGAGGCTTGCTGCTTTTATAATTGCGTGAGCCGATTCCTTAAATAAATCAGTTTCTCTCTCTCTATGGCTCTCTTTCACCAGAGAATCCTGACTAACACATGGTGTCAGCCTAGGTCTTCACTGACCCCATTGGTCTGGTTCAGCAGCCCTGACCTGCCTGAACTCCTGGCCTCAAGCGATCCTCCAGCTTCAGCCTCCCGAGTAGCTGGGACTACAGACTGAAACTTTAAGGAAGCAGGTGGATCCCCAAACTAACTGTTCTTTCCTGAAAACAGGAAATTCACAGCAACCAATTGGAAAGACCTCAGTTTACCTGAGTCAGCATCATGAAGAAGTCGCCTGTGCTTTACCTTACAAGAAAATAACCTGAAGTAACCTGATATTAACCAATCTGATTTTTTTCTATTGTTCTGTTTGCTCGGTCCCACCTTACAAAGCCCACAGTTCTGCCATTGCCCAGTGGGAGCTCTCCTTCTATTTTGAAGAATAGAGGCTTCCCTGATTCATAAAAGCCAATTCGATCTTAAACCAAATTTATGTAATTTTGTCTTTTGACAGTACCTAAGAGTGTATCTGCCATAAACTTCTCAAGGAATTATGTTAGCTTCTGAGAAACAATGGCTTGCTGAAAACAGGGAGGCAGCCAGCATGAGAGTAATGTGGAAAAATCTCACATGGAAAGAAAGAACAGGGTAAAAAGCTGAATATGCTGTAAACAATTACGTATTTTAAAAGATACACAGAAACCATTCTGAACCTTTGAACAAAAAAGTGACAAGAAATTTATCAAAGTGTTGATCAGTTGCTTCTAGTTGGTGGGATTTAAATATTTCAGTCTGTTTGCTTTTTATATCTTTTATAAATAAAGCCCTCTCCACTCCTGTGTGGCTGGCATGGGAGAATGCATGTGGACTTAAAGAACTCCCTCTTCTTATGCCTCCTTCCCGTCCTCCATTTCATCTGAACACAAATTCAGCTTCCCAGTAACCAAGGAAAGCAGAAGAGAGATGCCTGTGTGGAGATTTCAGTCATGATACACAGGATTACTGGCTGTGAGTGAGTGAGCCAGCATATGTGTTGAGCAGTCAGCTGTGAGTCTGGGTAGCGTGTCTGGTAAGGCAGACAGACAGAGTTTCTGCCGTCTTGTGGCAGAGTCCCTTGGCGGGGCTGGCAGGACTCAGAAACAGGGGAAGGCACATACCAACATCCCCACTAACTCACTGAGCTCAGCCTCTGCTAGAAACAGGGGAAGGCACATACCAACATCCCCACTAACTCACTGAGCCCAGCCTCTGCTAGAAACAGGGGAAGGCACATACCAACATCCCCACTAACTCACTGAGCTCAGCCTCTGCTAGAAACAGGGGAAGGCACATACCAACATCCCCATTAACTCACTGAGCTCAGCCTCTGCTAGAAACAGGGGAAGGCACACACCAACATCCCCATTAACTCACTGAGCTCAGCCTCTGCTAGAAACAGGGGAAGGCACACACCAACATCCCCATTAACTCACTGAGCCCAGCCTCTGCTAGAAACAGGGGAAGGCACATACCAACATCCCCACTAACTCACTGAGCTCAGCCTCTGCTAGAAACAGGGGAAGGCACATACCAACATCCCCACTAACTCACTGAGCTCAGCCTCTGCTAGAAACAGGGGAAGGCACATACCAACATCCCCACTAACTCACTGAGCTCAGCCTCTGCTAGGCGCCTGCTGTGTCAAGTAGGGGACTTGGCACATTATACCTACCTCACTTAATCTCCAGGACAACACTGTGATTCCAACGCTGTTGGCAGAAAGGCTGGGAGGTACAGAGCAGGGGAGTCCACATGTGACTGTGATGACCAGGAGCCCCTCACCAACAGCAGAGGTGCAGACAGGGGTGAAAAACAAAGACAGAATGTTCACAGGAATGTTAACGCTACAGAAATAAAAAGTGTTGAAAGAGGCTGGGTGTGGTGGCTCACACCTTTAATCCCAGCACTTTGGGAGGCCGAGGCAGGCAGATCATCTGAGTGAGACTAGCCTGACCAACATGGAGAAACCCCATCTCTACTAAAAAAATACAAAAATTAGCCAGGTGTGGTGGCATATGCCTGTAATCCCAGCTACTCAGGAGGCTGAGGCAGGAGAATCACTTGAACCCAGGAGGTGGAGGTTGTGGTGAGTCAAGATCACGCCATTACACTCCAGCCTGGGCATAAGAGCAAAACTCTGTCTCAAAAAAAAAAAAAAAAAAAAAGTGTTGGGAGAATGGATAGAAGCATCTGGGGAAGACTTTGCAGGTGAAAATGGTAGAACTCTCACTACATGACAACTTTGGTCAGCTCTGAGAGAACTGACCAAACCCTAGCATGGCTTCTAACAGCATAAGACCATGCCCCTCAGACAAAACCAGCGCTCCTTAAAGTGCCTGCCTGAGAAAGTTCAGTGTGCCAGGAAATGACTATTTGTCTTAGCTAAGATACATCTGTTGACAGGCCCTTGGACTCCCTTTCTTAAAGAATTTGCTATAAAAGGCTTACAGTTTTAAATACAGTCGTGCATCATGTAATGACAGGAATACATTCTGAGAAATGTGTTGTTAGATGATTTCGTCATTGTGTGAACATTGTAGAGTGTGCTTACACAAACCAAGATGGCACAGCCGGCTACACACCCAGGCTGTATGATTCAGCCTATTGCTCCTGGGCTGCAAACCTGTACAGCATGTGACTGCACTGAATACTGTAGGCAATTGTGATATGATGGTAAGTTTTGTGTATCTAAACATATCCAAACATAGAAAAGATACAGTAAAAATATGATATAAAAGATTAAAAAAAGGTACACCAATATAGGGCATTTACCCTAAATGGAGCTGTGGCTACTGACTGGTACAGTGTTAGGAGTACCTAAAGTATTTGCTGATGCCTGCCTCTCTGCCTCTGAGGTTTTTCTGGTACAGACGCTACTGTAGTCAGCTGGCAGTGATGAAGGCCAGACATACAGTAAATTTTGAAGGGGCTGTGGGATCTTGCCTGCCACTGGAGCAGGTCAGAAGGATCAAACTATGGGTACTGACCTGGATTAAGAAGCTTTGGGGTATGCCTAATGCTTGGTTTTATTGTTGGGGGCCAAATGTTAGGGAACAAGGCAGAACCCTGTGTTCACTTACATTTCTCTCCCAAGTGCATGGTATCTCTCTCTGTGCTGTGATACCTGGAGCTGGGGGAGAAGTGATTCAGGTAATTAAAACTGTCCTTTCTACCCTCTCCAATGCATCTTTTCTTATTATGTTACAAACATATACTCTGATCTCTCACCTGGGCTCCTTAGCTCTCATGAAGGTATTTATGTATGTTGCTAGTCATTCCAGGTGATGTTTCCGCAGTGAGACAACAGCTAAATAGTTCTATTTTGCCATCTTGCTCTGTCCTTCATCCTACTCTGTTTCTTCAAAGATAAATTATGTGTATTTGAGGTTTACAACACAGCATTATGGGATGCATATAGATAGTAAAGTAGTTACACTAGTGAAGCAGATTAACATATTTATCATTTCAGAGAGTTACTTTGTATTTTTGTAGTAAGAGCAGCTAAAATATGCTTATTTAACAAGAATTCCTAATACAATACAATTTTACTACTTGACTTCTTATATTGTATATTAGACCTCTAGACATTCATTCTACATATTGCCTACTTTTTATCCTTTGATCTACATCTCCACATTTTCTCCCCCTCCCTCAGCCATGATAACCACTGTCAGTTCTTTTTCTGTGTTTTTCAGATTTTTTTTTTTTTTTTGGAGATGGAGTCTCGCTCTGTCACCCAGGCTGGAGTGCAGTGGCCGGATCTCAGCTCACTGCAAGCTCCGCCTCCCGGGTTTACGCCATTCTCCTGCCTCAGCCTCCTGAGTAGCTGGGACTACAGGCCCGCCACCTCGCCTGGCTAGTTTTTTATACTTTTTAGTAGAGACGGGGTTTCACCGTGTTAGCCGGGATGGTCTCGATCTCCTGACCTCGTGATCCGTCTGTCTCGGCCTCCCAAAGTGCTGGGATTACAGGCTTGAGCCACCGCGCCCGGCCTATTTTTCAGATTTTTTAATATTCCACATATAAATGAAATCATGTAATGTTTTTCTTGTTTTAATTTTTAATGGAGTTTATTGGTGATTCTTATGACTTAATTAGCATGATGAATGCTGGAAATTAGCTCTTTTTTTTAAAAAATAGTCACACTCTGTTGCCCAGGCTGGAGTGTGGTGGCATGATCAGAGCTCATTGTAACAAACTGGGTTCAAACAATCCTCTTGCCTCAGCTTCCTGAGTAGCTATGACTACATGATGTTATGGGACTACAGGCATGTGCCACCACACCTGGCTAATTAAAACAAAATTTTTTTTTTCTAGAGACAAGGTCTTGCTATATTGCCCAGGCTGGTCTTGAACTCCTGGCCTCAAGCAATTCTCTTGCATCAGACTCCCAAAGTCCTGGGACTACAAGCCTGAGCCACTGCACCCAGTCACATTTTCCTTTCTGTGTCTGGATTATTCAGTTAGCATAACGTCCTCCAGGTCCATACATGTTGTAGCAAGTGGCAGGATCTTCTTTTCTAAGGCTGAAAAATATTCCATTATGTACATATATCATATTTATGTATTTGTTTTTCTATGACATTTACATTGTTTCCATATTTTGGCTATTGTGAATAATGCTGCCATAAACATAAGAGTGTAAATAGCTTTACAAGATGGTAAAGAAGAGGGACTGCTGGGTGATATGGTGTATTAATCCATTCTTACACTGCTAATAAAGACATACCCGAGACTGGGTAATGTATAAAGGAAAGAGGTTTAATTGACTCACAGTTCCACAGGGCTGGGGAGGCCTCAGGAAACTTACAGTCATGCCCGAAGGGGAAGCAAACACATCCTTTACATGGCGGCAGCAAGGAGAAGTGCCAAGCAAAAGGGGGAAAAGCCCCTTTATAAAGCCATCAGATCTTGTGAAAATTTACTTACTATCAGGAAAACAGGAGCACGGGGGTAAACACCCCCATGATTCAATTACCTCCCACCAGGTCCCTACCACGACATGTGGGGAATACCGGAACTGCAATTCAAGATCAGATTTGGGTGGGGACACAGCCAAACCATATCATATGGCATTTCAATTTTTAACGTTTTAGGGAGCTTTATTTATTTATTTAGATGGGATCTCACTCTGTCACCCAGGCTGGAGTGCAGTGGCATGATCTCAGCTCACTGCAACCTCTGCCTCCCAGGCTCAAATGATCCTGCCACCTCAGCCTGCCAAGTAACTGGGACCACAGGCATGCACCACCACACCCAGGTAATTTTCTGTATTTTTGGTGGAGATGGGGTTTTGCCATGTTGCCCAGACTGGTCTCTAACTCCTGAGCTCAAGTGATCCACCTGCCTCAGCTTCCCAAAATGCCAAGATTACAGGTGTGAGCCACTGTGCCCAGCCAGGAACCTTTATAATGTTTTCCATAATGGCTATATCAACCTACACTCCCACCAAATATTGTGCAGGGGTTCCCTGTTCTCTATACCCTTGCCAACATTTGTTATCTTTTGTCTTTTAGGTCCTAGCTATTCTAATATGGGTGAGGTGATATCTCATAGTGGTTTTGATTTGAATTTGCCTTATGATTAGTGATGTTGATCACATTTTTATATACCTGTTGGCCATTTTTGTGACTTCTTTGGTGAAGTGTCTGTTCCAGTCCTTTGCCCATTTTTAATTGGGTTATTTATTTTTCTGCTATTGAGTTTTAATTGTTCTTTATAAATTTTACCCCTTATCAGATATGTGGTTGCAATTGTTTTCTCGAAGGTTGTCGGTTGTCTTTTCTCTTTGTTGATTGTTTCCTTTGGTTTTAGTTTGAGGTGGTACCATTTATATATTTTTATTACTGTACTTGAGTTTTTGAGGTGATATCCAAATTATTGCCAAGGCCAATGTTGAGGAGCTTTCCCTCTGTGTTCTCTTCTAGGAGTTGTATGGTGTCAGGTTTCATACGTATGTCTTTTATCCATTTTGGGTTGATTTTTGAGCATGGCATAAGATAAGAATCTAATTGTATTCCTTTGCCTGTGTAAATCCAGTTTTCCCAGAACCTTTTATTGGACAGGCTATCTGTTCCTCATTGTATCCTCTTGTGCCATTGTCAAAAATTAGTTGACCATAGATGTTTGGATTTATTTGTGGGCTCTCTTCTCTGTTCCACTGGTCTGCATGTCTTTTTTTTATACCAGCACAATACTGTTTTTATTACTGTAGCTTTATAACACAATTTTAAATTAGGAAGTATAAAGCCATCAGATTTGTTTGTCTTTTTCAGTATTGCTTTTGCTATTTGGGTTATTTTGGCTCCATATAGATTTTAGAATTGTTTTTTCTATTTCCATAAACAATGCCATTGGAATTTTGATAGAGATTGCATTAAATCTGTATATTGCTTTGAGTAGTATGGACATTTAAACAATATTAATTCTTCCCATTCATCAACACAGAATATCTATCAATTCATTTTTGTCTTCTTCAATTTCCTTCATCAATGTTTTAAAATTTTCTGAAGACAAATCTTTCATCCCCTTGTTAAGTTTATCCTCTTGTTAAATTTATTCCTAGGTATTTTTTGATGCTATTGTAATAGGATTTTTTCTTAATTTCTTTTTCAAATTTTTTTGTTAGTCTATATAATTGCTACTGATTTTTATATGTTAATTTTGTATCCTGAAACTCTACTGAATTCATTTATTAGCTCTAGTTTGTGTGTGTGTGTGTGTGTGTAATGTTTACAGTTTTCTACACATAGGATCATGCTATCTGCAAATAGAGATAGTTTTACATCTTTTTGATTTGGATGCCTTTTATTTCTTTTTCTCATTTGATTGGTCTTGCTAATATTTCTAGTGCTATTCTGAGTAAAAGTGGTGAGAGTGGACATTTATGTCTTGTTCTGGA